CACTTTATATTAGCATTATTGATTACTTAACGGGTTCTGGCTATCCCAGGCAAATGTCAGATGCTCTAATTAGATTACTGTACAACTTGTATATGAAATAATTGCACAGGGAATTGCATATAAAACAAACACAGTCTTTGTTTTTCACACTTCAGTTTTTTTTCCTGAACAGATCTTCTGTGTCTGCTGGACGATGACACTATGAAATACAGTTTCTGAATGCAGATTTGTTCCAGGATGTTCAATAATTTTATGTAGGCAGACAGTGTGATCCCTATCTCTGATTTACCAATGGGTCTATAACGCCTTGCAGAAAGATTAATTAAGGCTCACATCAATTTTGGCCTCTAGATGTCATGAAAGAACACAACACCAAAGAGGAAGCAGAATAATTTCGATTATGTCCATCAGAAAAAAAAAAAGAGAATAATGGGTAGGTAGCGGAATTTTAAAAAGGGTTGCATTTACTGTCAGCATGTTTTTAAATAACTGAAGTTCTTAAAATTAAGTGGGAAGTAGGAAAAAATAAGTTAAATGAAAGAAATGTAACTAAAGAACTACTTCTATAAATCAGCAAGATCTGAGAAAATAATAACATTCAAGAACTCACAGATGTCATATAGCTGATATTCAGCATTAAAAATGGTACAGAAAATATAATACCTGCCAAGGATGTAATGGAAATATATTTATATACCTGACCTTTTGCATCAAACACTGCCTGCAGTTCCAAACATTTCTCAAAATATTTTTGATAAAACTTTTAAAAACAATTTTCTAAATATTTTATTTGTTGTTTTAAAATGCACAGTGCAAACACCATTGACACACTGTGCTCCATGACAGCATTTATACAAGGACTGTAAAACGCATTAGTCATGCAAGTACCGTATCAAATAAATAAATAAAATTATATTAATTTTTGAAGGTCAGTGAAGAGAAAGAAAAAGCAATTGAAATGCAGGTCCAAACTCAAATTCCAAATTGACAGCAAGGCCAGAAGAGGAATCTCAAAATCTTTTTCCCATCAAATTAAACATTATCAAATATAATTAAAAAACGTGATATGAAATCAATTTAGATTCTATAAGGGATCTTTCATGTAGGGTTTCTAACAGATTATGTTTTCCTATGTAGATACTCTTTGTAAAGCTGCAGGTGTCTGCAGACTTGTATGCCACTCGTTGACATCTTCTCATCTTTATGCAGGCATTGTGCATTCTAACACAAAATACCCATGTTAAGCAGAGACTCAAAGAACATATACATTCTAAAGGTTAAGTTCTGCACAGTGTACGTCAGACAAGCCAGTAGAGTAAACCTAACTTTACCCTTACTAAAGGCCACAAACCCGATATTCATAAGCCATGCAACACTAGGGTTCTCCATGGCTTCTCCAGGTTTGACTCTATCAGGCCTCCTCTGGAAGCTCTCAGGAGAACTGGCTACACAGGATTTGGAGAAGGCTGAGGTTCTGAATGACATTTTTGCCTCGGTCTTCACTGGCAAAGGCTCTGATGACACCACCCAAGTCTTGGAAGGTAGACACAGGGACTGTGAGAATGAAGACCTTGCGCCTACTATAGGAAAGGATCTGGTTTGAGACCATCTTAAAAATCTGATCATGCACAAGTCCATGGGAACTGATGAAATCCATCCATGGGTCCTGAAGAAGCTGGCAAATGAAGTTGCTAATCCACTGTCCAACATATTTGAAAAATCGTGACAGTCAGGTGAAGCTCCCGATGACTGGAAAAAGGGAAATATAACCCCCATTTTCAAGAAGGGGAAAACGGATGACCCGGGGAATTACAGACCAGTCAGTCTCACCTCTGTGCCTGGCAAAATCTTGGAGCAGATTCTCCTGGAAGGCATGCTAAGGCACATGAAAAACAACAAGGTGCTTGGTGACAGCCAGCATGGCTTCACTAAGAGGAAATCCTGCCTGACCAATTTGGTGGCCTTCTATGATGAGGCTATGGAACTGATGGACAGGGGTAGAGCAGTTGATGTCATCTACCTGGACTTGTGCAAAGCATTCAACAGTGTCCCACACGACATCCTTGTCTCTGAATTGAAGAGACATCAATTTGATGGATGGACAACTCGGTGGATAAAGAACTGGCTGGATGGCCACACGCAAAGAGCTGTGGTCAATGGCTCAATGTCCAGCTGGAGACCAGTAACGAGTGGTGTCCCTCAGGGATCGGTGCTGGGACCGGTCTTGTTCAATGTCTTTGTCGCTGACATGGACAATGGGATTGAGTATGCCCTCAGCAAGTTTGCTGATGACACCAAGCTGTGTGGTTCAGTTGATATGCTGGAGGGAAGGAATGCCATCCAGAGAGACCTTGACATGCTTGTGAGGTGGGCTGATGCCAACCTCATGAAGTTTAACCATGCCAAGTGCAAGGTCCTACACCTGGGTCGGAGCAATCCCAGGCACAGCTACAGATTGGGCACAGAAGAGATTCAGAGCAGCCCTGCGGAGAAGGACTTGGGGGTGTTGGTTGATGAGAAAATGAACATGAGCCGGCTTCAGTGTGCGCTCGCAGCCCAGAAAGCCGACCGTATCCTGGGCTGCATCAAAAGGAGCAGGAAGGAAGTGATCCTGCCCCTCTACTCTGCTGTCATGAGACCTCACCTGGAGTATTGTGTGCAGTTCTGGTGTCCTTAACACAAAAGGGACATGGAACTGTTGGAACAAGTCCAGAGGAGGCCACGAGGATGATCAGGGGACTGGAGCACCTCCCGTATGAAGACAGGCTGAGAAAGTTGGGGCTGTTCAGCCTGGAGAAGAGAAGGCTGCTTGGAGACATCAGAGCAGCCTTCCAGTATCTGAAGGGGGCTACGAGGATCCTGGAGAGGGACTCTTCGACTGTAGTGACAGGACAAGGGGTAACGGGTTAAAACTTAAACAGGGGAAGTTTAGATTGGATATAAGGAGGAAATTCTTTCCTGTTAGGGTGGTGAGGCACTGGAATGGGTTGCCCAGGGAGGTTGTGAATGCTCCATCCCTGGCAGTGTTCAAGGCCAGGCTGGACAGAGCCTTGGGTGATACGGTTTAGTGTGAGGTGTCTCTGTCCATGGCAGGGGGGTTGGAATTAGATGATCTTAAGGTCCTTTCCAACCCTAACTATTCTATGATTCTATGAAATGTCTTTACTGTCCAGCAGCTTGTGATTTTTCCTGTCTTCCATGCTCTTCCTAAGGTTATTACCAGAACTACCAACCTGCTACCACAAAACTTCTATCTCACAGTTTCTGTTCCCACTGACTAACAATCATTTCCAAGCACAGAAGCACAGAATAAGCTAGGATCCAGCTTGTGCCAGTTGTTTACTTCTTGATAACAGTTATTTCAAAATGTCACTGCAAGTTACTATAAAATGCTACTTAGAGTATGATAGTACATTCATACTACTCTCAGTGTCCATTTTTAATTTTTCTCTCCTCCCCTAAAACTTTTTTATTCCCTTTTTTTTCTTTAAGGGAAAGTAAATGCATTAATCAAAAATAGCTACAATACACTGACCATGCTGACCACACTAAATAGATCTAATCCCTTAAGTATGCCTTTTCCAGAACTTGAAGAGTAATGAATTAGACTCCCCTTACAACCTAAGTGCCTTAAATGCATAAGTACACTCAGCCTTGATACACAACATGAAGTATTTTTAATCAATCTTTGGTAAGTTTACACACTTGTAGCTTTATTTCACTTCTACTAACAGCAACGAGTGGAAGAGAAGCATTTAAATACCAGGTAACACTTACCTAACACTGTAACTCACAAAATTGGACCCTGTTTCTCACCTTGCCTTTTTGCTATGTCACTCTCTGATTCTGAGGAACATTAAATGTTAAGTAAATACCACCTTTAAGAAAATTACCTCCAGCCGCAGCTTCTTGCAGTTGTGCTCCAGCTGGGTCAGCCACTTTCAATCAGTCAGTGCAAACTCTCAGCAGGAGTCAAGAGTGCAGTTTTAAGCTTTTTTCCTGTCATGCAAACAAAAATCTGTGAACCATTTCTGCACCATAACAGAAATCTCATTTCTCAATTTCGGTGTACTTAGCAGTGTATACTGAAAAGTTGCCCCACTCCATTAAACAAACACACTAGTTACAATAGATCACAAATGAAATTCTAAACAGCAAAACAGTAGCACTTCTACAAATGCATGCGTTAAGTGGTAACTGCCTAAGAGGTCTTCTGTGTTCAAAACTCTGCAGGTTGGCAGGTTCTCTTCTAGGGAGTCTCAGGTTTCTGCTAAACTAGCCTTTGGCACATCTTTGTAAGCTGAGTTCAGAAGCTTTGGAATAATAACTTCTCGATGCAAAGGACTCTGCAAACACAAAAAGTATGGGGAGAAAAAAGAAAGAATGAAAATTGAAATTAAAGAATGTTTTTTTCTCTTGTAAAATGTTCTAACCTTGAGAAGGAAATAGTTTCTAGAAAATTAAACAGTGAAATACAAATGAATTTTTAAAACACCAGTTAATATTTTGTGTCTTCAAATTTATTAGATTAAAATATATTTCAGGCATACAAAGTGCCTTTTACTCAATTTAATCACTGGTTAATTTGATCCTTCATTTAATTTGATCAAAACCTCAGGAATCAAATCAGCTGTATTAAAAATAGCAAAACTTTCACTCCTTATTTTGATTAATTTTGATCGCCTTAGGCAAGTAATATCATATAATTCAATCACTGGTTATAGAACATTGCCATTTTAATTAATTATGAAAATGAAAAAATTGAGTGAGAACAGAGATAAAAGCCCAAGGAAGAAAATGTATTTATAATGAAAGGGCAATTACAACTCAATGTTGTGTTATTAAGACATTGTTACTAAAATTTTAGTCCTACTGTTTGTCATTGTATCCCACTTGCTTACTGCTGAAGTCCAACACACAACTTCACCTATGACAATACTGTATGCATAGAAAGGTCAAAATTCAATAAAAAGAAGTGGCACCTCTTGAGATGTTCTTGCAAGGAGAAGTAGCATTTTAGCCCTCCAGGGAATTTCAGTCCCGCCTTGAGGCAAATCTCCTTGGACAGGCTGTTGTTGCTGCTTTACCATCTCTTCAGGATGCTGTAAGAACTGGCTGAGGAAGGAAGAGAAAGCAAGCATCCAGCAGATCACTACTTTCCATTCCTCTTTCTCTTGTTCTTCTTTTCTTCTCACTACCCACAGTGAGAAGGAAAAGCAAAAGAGGTAATTCCTGGACTCAGAAAAGAAAGGCAGATTCCCAGAGGAAGTATTAAGGTTGGTAGCATTCAGAATAATGTAAAAGACCGGTGTCATACTTAACTGCCAGTCAAGCAGCTAATATTCTGTAGAGATGTGGTTCTGCAACTTCTTTTCATTAATATGGCAGAATGCCAAAGTAAGTGATGTACATAAATAATTCCAGATCCAGGAAATCGAGAGAATAGCAACAACAACCATCAGAACGCAGAAAAAAAACCCTATTGTTAAAAAATACATGTTGGGAACAACATGCAAAGTGTTTTGAAATGACTCATCGAAACGCTGAAATATATTTTCATCCCACCATACAGAATTTTCTGACTTACAACCAGGACCCCATTTTCTTGAATTAACCGTTACATCTCCTGTGCTGACTATAATGGTAGGAAAAGATGTTTAGGGTGGTTCTAGGTATAGAAAGACCCAGACCAACCAAGAGTAAAGAAGTTCCCATTATTTATCTTTCCGGAGAAAAGGAATTATTACAGAAACATCAACAAACCAATGTAAAACAATATAAACAATAAAGATTGCAATGCAGTCAAACACTGAAATACTGAACAGTCCCTTGGAACTTCTGAACCATATAAAACCCTGGCTAGGCAGTGGTGATGAGGCATATGTAGACTTGTAGCAGATTCTATGCTGCTGCATAATGTACAGACTGACTGAATATAAATTCTTTCACATTAAATACAGCTATTTGACTTGATGTTATTGAAGTTACCATAGTCATGACACGGTATATTTTCTTGCTTAGCCATTCCAGCTACTCCCTGTCCATCTTCAGAAACCTCCTTGTTGAGATTGTTCTCCTTCCACATTCCCACCCTAACACTGTATTTAAGATTATTTTTTCCAGCACAAAAACCATCACTCTGAGGACTGACTGTGCTATGTTTTCTGTTGTTGATCTTTCTCATAACCTAAACAGCTTGTAAATGTTACTTAGCTGTTGAAGCAAATTGCTGAAAGGTTGCTACAAAGGAAGGAAACCTTCTTAGGGACCTCACAAATTAATTCTGTGTATTTGGGCACTTTAAGTGAAAAGCTTTGATGGCAGGGGGAAATTCTCTCAAGAAGTCAGTCCATGCATCCAATTCCACCTATTCTGAATTTTTTAGCTTTATCTGGTTTTGTTCTGTACTTCCCCCAGGCTCAGAGCTATTCTCTAGCACAGCATACACTGCATTTCGCATGGTAAAACTAGTAATTGTTCAGATATGCAAAAGATGATTTTTACAGACACTCTATATTTAAAGGCAACTTCAGACCCTAAATTTCATTTAAAAAAAAAAACCAAACCAATATTCCTTACAGTAATGCTTAAACAACACTACCAAGCTTTTGAAGTACTCAAATCTTTCAGGTTTTGTTCTTGTTCTTTTTTTATGTGCCATCTAGAAAGATAACTAAGATGACAATAATTTAGTCTAATTTTTTTTCCAGTAAATAACCTTTCAAATGTAGAACATACAGTGTGATTAAGAACATGTTTGCAACTACAAAATACAGTCTAAGAGACAGAAGCAATGCTAGGACACAACAACGTTTTAAAAACAAAGGAAAATCATGCATTTATGTCAAGATTTCTTCCTGATTTCTACATGTTTCCTCCTACCAGTATATGATATTATAAAAAAAATGGAATACACTTCCCATTTCCTTTCCTCTTTTCTAGAAAGTGTCTACCTTCCTGTCTTGAAGACCTGTGGTATTATTAGTTTTCCATGTTTAAAAACAAATTATTGAAATTGATTGGGGAAAACATGGCACAATTGTCATTTTAAGTATTTTTAAAGTTGTGAAAATGCAACAAAATACAGATTTAAATAATTTTCAAATATACTATTATTAGTTTTCAAATTTAATTATTATAAGAACAATATCACTATATTAAGACCCAATTATCTTATACTTTCTGGCTTCATGACAATGCTCATGAAATGCTTAATATTCATGTAACATGTTACCTCACCCTGCAATATCACCATAGAAAGAAATTGTAATCCTCTTTACTGGCTCAGGTTAATTCCAATAAAATATTAAATCCATTTTCTGATCTAAATGAGTTCATTAGGAGAGGCATGGTACTGAGAATACCAAACTCTCTACAGAGTTCAGCTTCATTACATTTCAGCACTGTGCATTTTCAGAGCTGTTGTACTACATTTATGAGGATTTATCTGTACTGTTCCAAAAACATTCATCCTAATTCTACTACTTCTGTGCATGCTAATCATGAATATGTTAAGTGGAAATACTAAGCTAGCAGCCAATCTCATCCCCAGATGGGTTCAAGTTATGATTACAGAAGCAAATTTGCCATCAGCACTCATAAAGCAGTGCCAGAGAAAAGGAAATGGAAGGCTTGGAGATTTTGTTGTTTTTTTTTTTCATCTTTTTTCTTCAGTTTTCTTTTCTCTGTCCTTTTTGGTAGAGTGGGAGAAAAGGGATCTTTGATAAGGAGAGAAATGTCATACAATGCTTAGTGGGCTGGTATGTCCAGCCTGGTATAAACTACTTAACTTCGTTACACCTTTAACTGCTATGCATGGAACAGTTCTAACCAATATAAACCAAACTCTTTTGGGCTGACTTTTGGCATTTTCCTCAAGTTTAAGGGCACCTTTCCACACAAATAATCCCACCAATACTGAGAAAACTGCTAGCCTAAACTTTAAACTGTAAGTGAACCTGTTAGCTTTGTTAAACTAAAAGGCAGTGGATAAGATTTTTTTTTACCCCAGCTTCTACAGCATTATCACGAGCAGCAAATCTCTTTCTAAGATAAAAAATCTGTATTTTGAAGGAAGAAATCATTAACTAAAAAGGCAGAAAACACACGTATTCTCAAATAAATCTTCAAGTGCTATGTATTATATGCACTAACTGCTAATCCGTAGAAAAGAATGACCTTTTTCTTCAAACCTTTTCCTTTTCTCTTCAGAAGAACTAAAGCATGGTTGCTTTGCACAGTAAATTTTATTTGACCCATGTCAGATACCACCAGCAAGGCACTGAAACCTTTAATGGCCATACATATGTAGATACACTACTAAAATAGGGTCAGTAGGTACCTCTTTGATCTGAATGCAGCAGCTCTGTACTGAATTGCTAGAGCACTTCTAATCTGGAGAACAGAAGTAATCCTTTCAACTCATCGGCAGAGTTAAGACAAGTAAAAGGAAATAAATTAGCTCTGTCCTTACGGATGTGGGTGGCTGGCAGTCTGAAGGACATCCACAATGAGGAAGTTGGCCAATTTTAGGTAATCGGCCGCTGGTTGTCACTGTTGCTCCACGAAACAGGAGCTGCAGATGTGAACAAAAGTAGTCCTCGCAGCTCAAAGTTGCAGACTTTTGGTTGATCCCGTTACGTGGCCTGAGGTAAAGGCATCCGCTGAATTTTAACAGCTTTCAAAGCTGGATTGGTATGTTAAAAAAGAGCAGCTTGTGAAAGACAAAGAGATCAGATAATTGGAAGCTTCATAGCGTTATGACAAAAAACACAGCAGGGCTGAATGGACACAGAAGGAAATTTAATGCAAGTGCAAAAATAAAACCCCAAAACAAACAAAACCAAAAAATATTTTAATCACAGCTTGTTGACTCCATTCTAAAGTCCAGAATGCAATTTAAATATACTATTTTACACTGCCTTATAGCCCAACCAGGCAAATACTTCTAAATACAATGCTATTCACCTCAAATAATTCTCTTCACTTCCCAGCAGCAAGTATCTTTTTATAATGGCTTCATATTACGGAACTGAACTCCAACTATGCAACCCTCAGTAGTTTTTTTAGTAGTGACAGTGGGAAACGTGTTTAGTGTATCCACAGATTCCAGGTACCAACGCAAACCACCCAGTGGTGCTGTTCAGAGCCGTAAGCAGTGAGTCAATGCAGTTTGCAAGAACAACTCATTAGTATACAACTGCAACAGAATCAGACCATAGTAATTGTGAAGCTGGCCTACCACTTCTCCACTAAATTCTTCTGTGTACCTTTTCTTTTGAGGATAAAAAGATTACCAATTATTTTATTTAAAGAGAAAATGACATTTTTTTTAAGCCAATGGGAGAAGCTTGCAGGGATTCTCAACAATTTATGGGGGGACTTGATGACCTTAAAGGTCTCTTCCAAGCTAACCATTTTTATGATTGTAGAATGTGCCACTTCATCCTGTTAAGAATTTTATTCTGTCTCTAGTACGGGGCTGTTACACCACATAAATGGCGGAGTTTCACAACAATTTGCTTTGAATTTTCACTTTAATTAGAAAAAGAAAACAAAGAGAAAAAATACTTAGATAGAAGAAAGGATACAAATTCTAGGCTGACTCTCACTGGCTCACATCTGAATTTACATAAGTGAAAATCAAGATAGCAAAATCAAGGGGCATTGTTTAGACTGTCTTCCTAAATAAGATTCTTGAAAATATGAACACATTTTACCAAACTTAAAGAGTGTTCATTAACACTCACCCCTCTAAATAGCAGTGCCTGCTTGATTAGAAAAAATATGCATTTTGCTATGGTATGTTTATATTTTATTTAAGGAACCAATTAACAGATAACTAACAGTGACATATCAAATATAATTAATGGGTATTTCCAGTGTTGTTCAGCAACAGTATTTTCAGATAGTTGCACCATGCAGCTGATTCAACTCAGATTCTTTACTGTTTTCTCCTACTTGCAGTATCTTAATGAGCTATTTGCTCATACATTTAGTTATACAAAAACTTATTTGCCACATCTATATTGTTAAAATAATCAGTACTTATTTCCCTCATGCACAATGTATTTCTATAAGCCTGGACAATAACTATTTATTAGTTAATAGTGTCT